CACCAGGAGAAACTCCGAAGAAAGTGAAGTTAACAAAAGTTCCTCCTCTGAAGATAACCCCCACAAACATTCCACTGAAGATAACCTCAACAATCATTCCACTGAAGACAACCACAACAAACGTCCCTCAGAAGAAAACCACCGATGCCACCAGCTCGGACATGGATTGTTTCATTGTGGCCAGCCCATTGAAACCAGAGTCACCTTCGACGACCTCACAAACACTTTATTCAACAAACGAGGCTCCTTGTATAACGCCAGAATACAAAGATATTGGTACTGGTGTGGAGAAGCTGCCGAATATTTCCGAAGATACCAAAGTTCCAAGTATTGAACCCACCGACGAATTGGCCAAAGCTATCATTGTGCCATTGGGTCCACGTGGATTTAGAAACCTGTACCATTTACCAAGTGAGCCGTTTAAAAATGATACCTGTTTAAAAACCCTAGAGATGCTTCTCAGTTGGGTGTGTTAGCCCGACAAATGTATCCTGGACATGCTCAATTCATGCAGGAAGCCTACACTGATGCCACTTTACCACCCAGAAGTTATTTGCTCGTGGATTTAAAACCCGACACACCCGAAGAGATGAGATTGCGAACAAGAATTTTACCCTCAGAGGCTCCAGGCTTCGTCTATCTCCGAAAAGTATAAAAAGGGACAATCACTTCCTGAATGACCATTTCACCATGGCACGCACCAAGAACACGAGAAGACTTCACCAACCACCCCCAGGGACAACTCGGTTGCCAAGAGCTCAGTTTGTACCTTTCGCCCCATTGGCCCCTGATCTCAGAGATCCAACAGCTCGGGTACCTACCCGACCTACCATCCCAGGAGCCAGACGCAGAATCATTTCACCCACCCCACTGCCCTCTTTAACTCCGCCACCAAGACCCATCTCGCCTTTACCACCCAGACTGCTTTCTACATTGGCCCCAGATGTACGTCCAGAGTCATCCCCAATGCCAACATCACCAGAACCACAACCACGTCGAAGTTTGAAAAAAACACGCCAGACCAAACAATTCCCAACGAAACAAACAAAGAAGACAAAAAAAAGACAGACAGACAGACAGCGGATCCTCTGGCTCGAGGTCGAAAAAGCAAGCAAATGAAAGAGATGGTAGATTTTATTAAACGTTTAAAACGCCTGAATCCAGAAATGGTCTACACGGAATTGGTGAGAAATGTGGGTACGGCACGCATTGGTTTGTTACAGTGGTTTAAACTTGCGGCCAATCATCTCCTGAAAGGGAATATTCAACCGTTACACGCTCAACACACCAAATGGGTTGCTAGAAATAAAGATGTTTTAAAACAATTGACTCAAAATATAGGCACCAAAGAAAAATTAGCTTTGGTCATGAAACCCGGGGGTCAAGGTTTTTTCGGTGTAGTGTTGATACGTATTTTGGTCCGATGGAAAGAAAGATTAGAGCAAGAGAAAAAGAGCTAAGAAGAGAAAAGTATAAAAAGGGCGCTGCAAACATTTATTATCATTTGACATCATGGCACCACGTCGTAGCATCAAGTCTGTTTCTAACCAATGTAAAGCCATTTTAAACGGCAAGACTCGATTAACGACACAACAACGTCGTCTATTAACACCACACAAAAGAGCCCTGCGAACTTTAGCCAACCCTCGAACCTCTGTGCGGTCCAAAAGAAAATTGTTAAACCAAAAAGGTGGCTTTCTAGGTGTGTTGTTGGCTTCTTTGGCCTCTAGTGTCATTGGACCTATCATCGGTGCCATTCGACAGTGATAGGGTATATAAAGGAGAAACCTAGGACTCTGGTCTCAGTCATGAAGCCTCAACAGACCTTGAACGATTTCTTAAAAACCCCTCACAGTTGGCGGAATCATATTTTGAACGATAAAAAAGTCGTGGATTGTTTATGCGAATGTATTGGTAATTTGATTCGGGACACCTTACCACTATCAGCTGCAGAAACAAGACGTTTACGATCAAAGTCAACCTTACTTAGACGTCTGGGCACTCCCAAAACACCTTGGAAAACCCGTAAGAGATTACTTCAACAACACGGTAAAGGATTGTGGAAACCTGTCTTTCATCCTTTGCTCAACAAATTAAAACAGCGATGAAGTTTACACGAAAAATGAGATTGGTCCCAGCAGATGAACTAGAGAAGATTGTGACGGTTAAACCTTACGAACCCGTGTACGATCAAAATCCAGTTAAAGAAGCTTTAGAAGAATTAAGTCAAGAAATGCAACGTTTACTCAAGTCCAATACTTCAGACGATATTAAAATGGATCAATATAGTCAAATGTTGCAGCGATATCGAATACTACAAAATAAAAGACCGTGCATGTGCATGTCGTCAGGTTTGTTGTTTGTTGTCTCGGGTACCGTACCCGGAAACATCCAAGAAAAAACGCGACATTACATCAACGGTACGGTTAGCCCTCGACAAACAAAAAGCTTTTGATAAGGGATACTTGCCAAATTGGACTTTGGAAACTTTTCAAGTCAAACCCAGTGTAGGATCCCGTTATAGATTAATTGATGGAAACGGTGAAATGTTGGAAGGATCGTTTTATACCGAAGAATTGCAAGAAGTGAAAGAAGACAAAGACGAGGCTTACGTGATTGAAAAAATCATAGAACGACGAGGTAAAAACGTACTCGTCAAATGGAAAGATTACCCTGCTAGTTTCAATTCCTGGATTCCTGAATCGACCGTGGAGTATAAATAGAGGTAACCAACTACAGGCGAGATACATCATGCAAGACGAATCCACATCGACAACATCGATTCGATCCAGATCCTGGGCGTGTTTAGGAAGTCGCGTGCCTCAGGCTGAAATTGTATTTTTCTGTCAAGTGATATTGGTCTACATTGTCGCGGGTATTGCGTTGTCGCAACTCGCTCTGAAACCCGAAGGACCTCAAACCACGTTGTGGACGGCTTTGTTATCCAGTAGTTTGGGTTATTTACTGCCATCACCCCAACTGAAGAAAAATGAACGATTTTTATCTCACCCTGCCTAGTGACAGTTCCATTGGAATGTTCCCGGACAACAGCCGTTCGACGTATCGCACTCATTTAACTCCCCCCATTCATTTTAATCACCAAGAATGGGAAGTAGGTCTGTCAGCCTTGGCCTTCCCAACAGATTGGTACAACCTTACGGAGAAAGACAACAAACTCAGACTGAAAGTTTTTCCATGGAAAATTGTTCCAGGAATGGAAACCATGAGTGACAAATGGTTGGAACCTCCCGAGTGCACCACTGTTCCTAACAATGATGAAGGTTCGACTGAAGTGGAAACGCATATGGAAACCAACACTTACAGAAATGTGGAACAGTTGCTAAATGTATTGAACGTGACCATGCATGGATTATGGAAATGCAATGAAATACAAGAAATCATTCATCGAAAACCATTTCGATTGGATCCCAACATCAAAGAATTGACACCCCTGGAAAAAAGCGAACAAGAAGAGTACGAAAATCGTATGAAATTATCCAATCAAGCCGAAAAACAACCCTATGCAACCTTTAAATTGGATTCATTAAACCAAAGAATATATTTATCTTTCGACTCTTCAGATGCCGTCAACTTTCTACGTATGTTACCCGCAATCAGTTTCCAAATTGAAGGACCAATGGTTGGTATGTTAGGATGGCCTGACTTTTCGCAAGAATTTCAGTTGGATAAATTATGTCGACGAAACATCCGCGATGCCAAAATTACTGCTCCCTTTCAGCCTGCTGTGGATATGGCCTTTGATATGTTTTACTTGTATTCGGATATTGTGAACCACAGCG